AAACAAAACCTTTTTATCTTTGGCCTTTTTAACCACCTCACACAAACCAACTATATACTTATCGTGCAGTTAAGTGCTACAGAGTTACTGGATGCTCGGAATAAGATGGTTATTTTGCTGTTGTTTTTGCTTTTTTACAAGGTTTTCTTTCTCTTTTGAGAGGATAATGAATATGGTCACCCCAAAGTCAAGTCAGAAGTAGGACAGAGAACGCTCCCATCATTAAAAACGGATGACCCCTAATGACATGTACAGAAATACAAAATGTAAATAAAAAATACAAATTTCCCTTTTAAAGTACTTTTAAGAAAAAAAGCAGGGCCTGGAAGCTGTGGCTCTTCTCCTCCCTGTTGCTGTCCGGTGCGGTTTGGTTGGGTGGAGCCACGTTTAGATCCTGAGACGGGAGTGGCGGGTGAGTAGGTCACGGAGGCCTTTTTTCCAGTTTAACTTTTCCTTCTTTGCTGCCTCGTCATCCCCATCGGCCTTCTGCTTCTCGGTGTCCACATGTCACCCTCATCTTCAGCTGCCCACCTGCCACCTGCCGGTAGCTGCCTCCTCCTCTTTCTCCCCCTCCTCTTCCTCCCATCACCTTCCTCCCGGCCTGCATCCACCTGGCTGCCGGCCTCCCCCACAGCCCCCTCTTCTCCTTGAGGCCTGGGTTGGGGGTGGTGGTGGTGGTGGTGGTGAGCTGGAGGCCGGTGTCTGTTTAAAAGCAGGAGTGGAGGGCTCTGGCGAGAAGCTGCCGGAGCCCGCGACGAGGTGGTTGCAGCCAGCGGAGCGGCAGCCACGGGAACGATGGAGAAATGGCTTTTCAGAGCAGACCCTGGGGCCAGAAAATCCCTCTTGTAAACCCTGGAGGTGGGGCCCATGGTCTGTCTCTCTTGCGCACAGGCTCTACCTTCAAGGAGCATACCCAGGCCATTCCCTTTCCCCTCCCCCACAGGCATGGATCCCCCCACCTCTAAGGGACCCCATGAGACCTGCAACCAAGGAAGAAATGGGCAGCTGCGCTGGTCCTGGGCTAAGCCCGGAACCGTCTCCAAGGCCCCCTTTTCTCTGACTTCCCAGTGAGCAAAGCAGCCCGGCCATGGTCTCCCTCAACTGACTGGCTCCTGACTTGATGTAAGCAACCAGCCATATTGTCTGTCTGTCTGCACCCCCCGCCCCCTCTCTCATGGCCGATCCTCGCTTGGAATACATCTTCAATAAGCCCCACGTTGCTTTACTTTTATTTTTGTTGACCTTAAAATCTTTTCTACATCAACAAAAAGAACCAAGGTCCTAGCCAGTAAGCCCAATCAATAACACCCCCATATGCAGCGTTATTTACAACAGAGATAACATACCAACCTAAGAGTCCATTGCTGGGTACATGGATAAAGAAATATGGAATTCACTTATATGTGGAATCTTACATTAAAAAAAAAGAGCTCATGAATACAGAACTTATTGGTAGCGGCCAGAGGCAGCTGGGGTGGGTAATAAGAAATGGGTAGCTCTAACCGGTTTGGCTTGGTGGATAGAGCATCGGCCTACGGACTGAAAGATCCCAAGTTCAATTCCGGTCAAGGGCATGTACCTTGGTTGTGAGCACATCCCCAGTAGGAGGTGTGCAGGAGGCAGCTGATCGATGTCTCTCTCATCGATGTTTCTAACTCTCTATCACTCTCCCTTCCTCTCTGTAAGAAATAAAAAATATATATATTTTAAAAAAATGGGTAAACTTTTTTTTAAAATACATTGAAAAGAAAAATACAAAAAAAAGCCCCAAAATACTTAGAGATAAAAAGGTCAAGGGCTAGAATAGGATGCAAGAGCAGAAAAGAAAAACTAAAAAAATATTATCCTTCTAGAAGATGCAGCTTAGAATAAGACATTTTCAGAGTGGGGTGGGATGGGGTGGAGGGAAGGCAGGAGGAGGCAGGAGGAGGCAGGAGGCAGGAAGCTGGAAGCTGGTGACTTTGTAAATGGCAGTCCTGCACTAAAGAAAAGATGTTCTAACCAACAAAACAAACTGATGAACAAAATGGGTCCAGAGGCATGGAAACATGGAACAGACTGACAGATCACAAAGGGGGCAGAGTTGGGGTTTGGGGGGGACAGAAAGAGATTAACCAAAACATATATGCATAGCCCGAGGCCTCAGACAATAGTTCAGGGAAGGTCTGGGGTGGGGCCCTGGGGGATTGGGTAAAGGGGGAAAAGGAGAGGGAAACTGAGGGACATCTGTAACACTGTCAACAATATAAAAAGAAAAGAAAGGACTCAAAGGAAATTTCAAAAAAAAGAAAAGATGTTCTTCAGATAGAATGAAAGCAGTCTCAATGATTTATGATAATGAAGAGCTATTGAAATGGAGAATGTGTCAATTTTACTTTAATAAAAAAGACATGTAGCCCTGGCCAGTTTTGCTTAATGAATAGGCGTCAGCCTATGAACTGAAGGGTCCCGGGTTCGATTCAGGTCAAGGGCAATTACCTAGGTGGCAGGCTCGATCCCTGGTCCTGGTCAGGGTGTGTGCGAGAGGCAACCAACTGATGTGTCTCTCTCAAGTCTCTCTTTCTGTAGCTCCCTCTCCCTTCCACTGTCTCTAAAAATCAGTGGAGAAATAGACTCAGGTAAGGATGAACAAAAAATAAAAACAAAAATAAATAAATGAAGTGAGGGAGGGAAGAAAGTACTTCTTAAAAAAAAAAGACATTAAGTATGTAAATAAATCTAAAAGAACATTGATTATATAAAACAATTGTATGTACATTTGTTAAGACTTAAAATATAATGACACAAATTACTTGACAAGTACATACAGTGGTAGGCAACAATAGGCTTACAGTTGTGAGTGCAAAAACAGAGTTTACTATCGTATTATTTATTTATTATTGTATTATTTATTTGTACAACTGTAAACCTACTTTTGCCAACCCCTGTGTAACTTAAGATGATTAAGAGAGTCAAAACAAAGGTCCTTAGATAAAGTAGGGACTGCCACTAGTACTATTTCATTAGAGACTAATAACTCAGACACAGTGTAATCTCCAAGGTAGGCACTGAAGTGTGCAGCTAATGAGCTCATGGAAAGAACAAAATTAGTTCCTTCATGGTTGAACAAAATTACTTTAAAGAGCAAAGAAGCAATTCTAAGCAGACAAAACAGAATGCATGAGACAAAAAGGAAAAATAATTATTGTGTACATTATACATTCTTCTCATTTCATGTCACACAACTATAGCTAAAAATGAACTAGAGCTAGATCCTGCTTCTAAATCAGTGTTGATGACATTAACAACATTCTTAGCTGCTAATCAAATGTAATTAAAAATTAGAAACAAAAAATGTGGCTTTAAGGATTGTTTCCCTGCCTACCATTTGTAAATAAGCATATTTTTAATCGTTTTATTGAGATAGAATATAAATGCCACAGGACTCACCCATTACAAGTGCACATTCAATGGCTTTGTATATTCAGCGTTGGACAGTGATCACCACAATCAATGGGAGAAGGTCTCATCACTCCTCAAAGAAACATCCCACCCTCTGGCCTCCCCTCCACCCAGTCAGTCGTCCGCTCCTGTCTGTACGGGCTGTTTATTCTGAGCATGTCCTACGAATGGTATTGAGGAGACAGAAGGAAGCGAGTCAGGAATTGGGGCCTGGGGCGGGGAGGAAGTGGCACCGGAACCAGCTGGGCGGAGTTACTAAGGCACCCAACTGGGTGGGGAAAGGAGGAGGCGCACAGAGACCTGAGCTTCAAAATGCGTGAACTGCTAAGACAGGCAACCTGCAGATAACCAACCAAGACAAGGCTATAACAACCCCAAGAATGTTATTAAAGCAGAATTCTTTTTAAAAAATATATCTTTATTGATTTTAGAGAGGAAGGGAGAGGGAGAGATAGAAACATCAATGATGAGAGAGAATCACAGATTTGCTGCCTTCTGCATGCCCTCCACTGGGGATTGAGCCCACAACTCCAGGCATGCGCCCTTGACTGGTCCACATGCTGATGCTCTATCCACTCAGCTAAACCAGCTAGGGTCGTGGTCGGCAAACTGTGGCTCGCGAGCCACATGCGGCTCTTTGGCCCCTTGAGCGTGGCTCTTCCACAAAATACCATGTGGGGGCGTGCACGTACAGTGCGATTGAAACTTCGTGGCCCATGCGCAGAAGTTGGTATTTTGTGGAAGAGCCACACTCAAGGGGCCAAAGAGCCACATGTGGCTCTCGAGCCGCAGTTTGCTGACCACTGAGCTAGAGCAACACAGGTTTCTTTGAAAGGACCAATCAGGACCTAGCAAGGCATGTATCTGCCCGTAGATTAAAAAGCCCACGCTTCCTCCCTCCCCCCTCAACAATGCGCAATGGCAAACTTAACAAATTTCATTTAAAAACTTCACCAATATAGAGGACTCTCCTCAGGAGGCCTGCTGCCCAGGCTGAGTAAACCACTAGGACTCGCAGTGAGGTCAGTGCAAGGCCCTGCAGGGCAGGACTGTAATGAAGGGCAGCTCAGGTCCCAATGATCCCAGAGACCTGAAACCACAACTCGAAAAAGGAACTTAAAAAAAATTGTCTTAGGGCAAATGCCTTTTGTGGGGACGAAGTATACATTTTTAAAGAGGAAAGAAAATCAGGAGAAACAGTATTACTGTCGTTACTGTGAGCCACAGCGGGTCCACAGCAGGGCGCTTCTGAAGTCAACGTTCCCTTTGCAAAATTTAATGGGTGTTAAAGATTTAAAACATGATGAATTGCTTCTGCTAATTCTCTTTCTCTATACTTCTCAAGGAAATTTTTCCCCCATAAACATTTCACTACATTTCAAACAACACTGTATTAAAGGTTTCCTGCCTACTCATTACATGTCAGCACCTACATTTATAACTTGAAGCAAGTTGACACATTTTTTTTCTTGACACTGTTTTCCCCAAAATACCTTTAGACAGACGCCAATCCTTGCTTTTTCCTTATGTTCGAAAGCTACTAGGCACCCACTACCCACCTGTCTGAGGTAGAGAAAAAAACTTGAGTACTGTCCAGCTTCAGGAAGGTAAGAAAGAAACACAGTGATGCAGATCAGTAACACGGTAGGATCTTTTCCAACTTTCTTCAGTGGCTAAGAAAAAGCAGAAAGATAAGAGGAGAAATAGTCAGATGGGTCCGAAATTTATCGGACGATCACTTAGTAAGTTCTATAATGTCTAATCACTGGGTGCACACCGGAAACTAATATAAGATTATATGACAACTGTAATTGAAAAATAAAAAGCAGCAAATAGAAGCTAATGTCAGATATTCTGCCATACTGGCTTCATTGTTTCCATCTACTGAGGTAGAGTAACAACTGCTGATTGGACTACAAAAGGAAGTGAACCTTCACATTAAATCTATCACCATCTCTCTATGGAGGTTACAAGTCCTCATCTCTGAGATATGTGCTTCAAATATTACAGCGTAAATGCAGATACACACGTTTGCTCCTGTTTACTTAACAACATTGGTTCGCATCTTGAAACAGACCCTGAACACCCTATAAACACCCTGTAAACATGTTACTCCAGAACCTTTTAAGAAAAATCTCATCTCTCTTTTTCATTCATAATATAACTTCTTTAAAGCCATAAACAGTATAGGCATTTCATTACATATAAATTCACTCTATTCTTTAAAATGTTAGCATTCAATTTGCCTGTAAATTGGTCAACAAGGTAGGTGGGAAGCCTGCCTGCACCCGGGTGTGCCTGGTCTCCTCCTTTCTCTACGTGGCACAAATGGATGGGCACACACAGAACAGGCAGGTCCCCAGGCCATGCCCCAAGGAGCTTTTTGGAAAAGAATTTCTCATGAGTTAGTTTTCTTATTACATGTATTTTCCTAAAGGGTAGACTTGGAGGATAAAAAACAAATATCAAATCTCTGTTTAATTTTTTTCTGCACCTATTTTCTTCAAGGACAGTTTCAAATCAAGAGGGGGAACTAATGCCCTGGCCGGCTTGCCTCAGTGGACAGAGCGTCGGCCTGCGGACTGAAGGGTCCCGGGTTCGATCCCCAGTGGGGTGTGTGCAGGAGGCAGCCCATCAATGATTCTCTCTCATCATTGATGTTTCTCTCTCTCTCTTCTTCTCCCTTCCTCTCTGAAATCAATAAAGAAATATATTTAAAAAAAAAAAAAGAGGGGGAAACTAAGGTTCTTCTTCTGAGGACTTTTTTGAGTTGTTAATGGGATTCCCCGATGCAAAAAATAAATAATTTTTTTTAAAAAGAAAGAAAATGAAGAATCCAATCTATAAAATACAAGTTCAAAGCCTCTGGTCTAAATGGAAGTATTTCAATAACTTAGAAAATAACTACTTTAGTCAGATCTGATATTTTTATCCTTTTTTAATTTAGCAATTGAAAACAACTACTTTAAGTGGCCACCTTCATTTCTTTGCTAAAAAATAAAAACCACCATGCAAAACAAACAAACAAACAAAAAATTCTTTCCCTCATCAGGAATTAACTGGACAATTTTTCTCTCTTTTGTTGTGATAACCGCATGAATGACTTAAGAAATATCAACTCTATATATTCCTTGGTGCACACTCTACCTCAGTCCCGTCCTTGCAATTAATTTATTTCTATTACTGGAGACAGAAATGGATTAACAATTGTGGGGATGCTTGAGGTTGCAGAAATATTCTTTATTTGCATGGCTTAGAAAGATACTTAGAAAAATAATGTTTTCAGATTTTTATTTACCGCAAAAGGATCTGCTTGTTTCCAAGAAACCTGAGCTCCCCAGGAGAGTGGTCTCATTTTCTCTGGCAAGGATTCTGGAACAGCCAATAAGATGAAGCAGATGTCTAGAAGAGCCACCACCGTGGCCACCAGCACAACGAGGTTGTCTCCATAGCTGGCTGAGAGGTATGCTCCAATAGCTGGGCTGCTGACCAGACTGGCTGCAAAGGTGGCTGAGACCTGTGGAAAAAGCACGCTCTCCCCCAGAGTCCCACCTGCAGCAGGTGCACACATACAGCCACCCTCCCTCGGTTTTAAACAAGACAAAGGAATGTGTTGCACACAAATTTTAAGAAACAAAGAGAATCCAAGTCATTTTGTTTTAAGAATTTTTTCATCCACTACAAAATAATTGGAGATATTGTGTAAAAGTACAAGAGCAAAAAAAAAAAAAAAATTAATCAAAAATAAAAATTGTGGCCCTGGCAAGTGTGGTTCAGTGGGTCAGAGCATCATTCCGTACAAAGAAAGGTTGCGAGTTTGATCCGTGTTGGGGTGCATGCAGAAGGCAACTGATGGATGATTCTCTCCCACATTGATCTCTCTCTTTCACTCCCCCTCCCCCCCATCTTTCCCTCTCTCTAAAATCAATGGAAAAATATCCTCTGGTGAGGATGGAAAAAAATAAAAATTGTGCAAACCTTCTTTATAAAGAAAACACACATTCTTTAGTCTTCTTTAATTGAGAAATAGGGCAGTGGGAAGAAGGGTATTTAAAAAATGCTGACTGGCTTATGATAAAAATCTACTCAGGGACTGTACTTGATTTTATCTCTCAGAAATATGAACTGTTTGAGCTTCTGGTCAAGATGGCAGAGTAGGAAAACGCTGTCCTTGGCCTCTCCTACAACCAAACAAAAATTACAACTAAACTAGAAAGCAATCATCATTAAGGACCTCCCAGATATCAGCGGGGCAGAGACCCAGAATGGGCTGGTCCCACACTCAATGTGGCAGAGAAATCAGGACGGACGTCTCAGCTGCGGAGGCCCAGCTCAGGGTGCCAGTGCCAGTGCCAGGAAGAGAAGTCCCCAGAACTACTGGCTGGGAAAACCAGCAGAGAGCGCAGCCAAGTGAGAGAGGCTGCTGGAGAGCTGGGCGTTCTTCGAAGGTCCACGCATGGACTGATCGTTGGCGCACTGGGCAAAAGCCCAAAAAGCTCCGAAACACGTGGGAGGAACTAAATTGCCGCCACCAGGACAAAAGTGCTGGCAGAGACCAGTGTTCCTTTGCTGAGCCCTCCCCCTTCATGCAGGCAGGCACCATATCTGATCTCCATCATCCATCACCCTGGCAAGTCCTTGAGACCCAGCCCCACCCAACTTGTGGGACAACCCAAGCCACTACCAGTGCTATTTCCATACAAATGGCCTATCTAGGCTTACGCTGCAGACTCCTAAATTCTCTCCAAGGTTCATAAGCCCCAAACACCAGCATCTGGCCTCAGCATGCTCTTCACCTCCTGCTAAGCGACCCCTGGCATGGCACTAATGACAGTGCCTCAGTTTACACCAGGCACCTCCAAGCCCAGCACAAGTGGCAACCATCTGGAAAACACTTTGTAGCTCATGCCAGGTAGGGTGAAAGCAGCGGTGGACACTGACTGACCTGCACCTCCCAGGAGGCACCACAGTTAGCTCACCCGGTGGACAGCTTCAGATCACACTAAAGACAACCCAAAAATCTCCATGAGCGACACACTCCAGGGGTGAGCTCAGCAGGCACCAGAGCCTACTGAGGTGAATCCTGCTCCACTGGGTCAGCCCCTACCCAGCACATTCTCTGTGATGGTTGTGGCCAGTCCTTACAGCTGATTAGTCCTCACAGGTGGGTAAAATCCATCCCACTGACGTGCCAACAGCAATCAAGGGTCAACTACAATGGGAGGGTGCACACAGCCCAAAAGGGTAGGGTGGTACCTCAGGTGACTGGGGAGGCTGAGCTACAGGGTCCCACAGGACACCTACTACACAAGCCACTTACCAAGACCTGGAGATAAAGCAGCTCTACCAAATACATAAAAACAAACACAGCGAAGAACCAAAACGAGGAAACAACAGAAACAAGGCTTCAAAATGTAAGAACAAAACTCCAGAAAAAGAACTAAGGAACACGAAGACAAGCAATCTTTCAGATGCAAAATGCAAAACAAGGGTTATAAGGATGCTCAATGAACTTAGGAGATGAATTTAGAGAGAACTTCAAGAAAGAGGCAGGAAACAAAAATAAATAAAAAGATAGAAAACATAAAAAAGAAACACTCAGAAATAAAGAATACAGTAATTGAAATGAAGAACACATTATGGGGGAGGCAAGATGGCCTATTTCAGCCAGCACCAGATTTTCTTCTTCTCTTTAATATCTTTTTATTGATCTCAGAGAGGAAAGAGAGGGAGAGAGAGAAACATCAATGATGAGAGAAAATCACTGATTGGCTGCCTCCTGCACGCCCCCTACTGGGGATGGAGCCGAAACCCAGGCATGTGCCCTTGACTGGAATTGAACCTGTGACCCTCCTGTCCACAGATCGACACTCTCCAGGGGTCCTCAAACTTTTTAAACAGGGGGCCAGTTCACTGTCCCTCAGACCATTGGAGGGCCAGACTATAGTTTAAAAAAAAACCAGTCGGCTGCTAAGCAACAGGCAGCGGCAGCAAAAACACCCGGCGGGCCGGATAAATGTTTTTGGCGGGCAGCATGTGGCCTGCGGGCCGTAGTTTGAGGACCCCTGTGTCTAGCCCCTGAGCCAAACCGGACAGGGCTCGACCAGATTTTCAGCTAAAATACTGAGCATTCAATTTGAAAAATGAAGAGAAGTATAGCTGATTGGACATACTGTATCTAAGGATCACTGAGGAAACAACCTAGAGACTGGTAAGAGGAGGGGAGTCACGGAAAGGGGGAGCCCCCTGAAGCAGGTGCATGGCTAAGTGGCTGAGTGACATCATCTGCAAAGAGCCCTCCCCTTAGGAGTGTGGAATCTCAATCCCACACAGGGATCCCAAACCCACAGCAGCAGAGACTGCAAGAAGAGCTTGCATAGCAACAGGCAGAGGGAACGAGGGGAACTCTGCCTGGGACTGGGACCCACCCTCCCAGTGAAGGAGCGCCCTCCTGTGGGCGGCCCAGCCTGAGAGGCTTGCTCTGGGCTCTGACTGCTGGGGAGTCTGCGCTCCAGCGGGTGGGTCCAGTGGAGGGTCTAGAGCAGTGGTTCTCAACCTTCCTAATGCTGCGACCCTTTAATACAGTTCCTCATGTTGTGGTGACCCCCAACCATAAAATTATTTTTGTTGCTACTTCATAACTGTAATGTTGCTACTGTTATGAATCGTAATGTAAATATCTGATATGCAGGATGTATTTTCATTGTTTACAAACTGAACATAATTAAAGCATAGTGATTAATCACAAAAAACAGTATGTAATTATGTATGTGTTTTCTGATGGTTTTAGGCGACCCCTGTGAAAGGGTCGTTCGACCCCCAAAGGGGTCAAGACCCACAGGTTGAGAACCACTGGTCTAGAGGCTGCACCCAGCAGTGACTATGAGGGACTCTCTACTCTCTTGAAAGTCATTGTGCAGAGCCCGTCAGTGATTAGATGATTGGTTTGGAGAAAGGAGAAAGTTTGACGCAGTCCCAACTGTTTTTTTTTTGTTTTCCTTGCCCATAAAGGTGTCAGGAAAAATACTGTTAACAGAAATATCCAACATTTTACTGCCTATGTTTTCTTCTAGGAATTTTATTGTTTCAAGTCTTATATTTAATTCTTTAATCCAGTTTGACTTTATTCTTATATATGGTGTAAGGTGGTCTAGTTTCATTTTTTTTGCACATTATCTGTCCAATTTTCCCAACACCATTTATTGACTAATTCTTTACTCCATTGTATGTTCTTGTCTCCTTTGTCGACCATTAATTGGCCATAAAGGCATGGGTTTATTTCTGGGCTCTCTAATCTGTTTCATTGAGCCATGTATCTGTTTTTATGCTAGTGCCGTGCTGTTTTGTTTTTCTCTGGTATTGTATTGTGATTCCTCCAGCTTTGTTCCTCTTTCTCAAGACTGTTGTTATTTGGGCACTTTTGTGGTTCCAGATAAATTTGTGGATTATTTGTTCTAGTTGTGTAATGTATGCCATTGGTATTTTGATAGCTGTTTTGAATCTATAGATTGCTTTGGGTGTTATGGACATTTTAATTATGTTAATTCTTCCTAACCGCAGCATGGTATATGCTTTATTTGTATCTTACTCAATTTCCTTTTTTCAGTATCTTATAATCTTACAAATACAGGTCTTTTATCTCCTTGGTTAAATTTATTCCTAGGAACTTTATTTTTTATGCAACTGTAAATGGGATTGTTTTCCTTTCTTTGTTGGTGTATAAAAATACAACCAATTTATGGATATTGATTTTGCATCCTACTACTTTTACTAAATTTATTTATCAGTTCAGTGGAATCATTAGGGTTCTCCATATACAGCATCATGGCATCTGCAAATGACAGTTTTACTTTTTTCTTGCCAACTTGGATGCATTACTCCCCCCCCCCCCCCCGCCTTAACTCACTGCTGTGGCTAGGACTTCCCAGTACTATCCTATCTAATAAAAGAGAAACATGGTAATTGGCGTACAACCGCTACCCTTCCCATTGGCTAATCAGGGTGATATGCAAATTAACTGCCAGCCAAGATGGTGGCCAGCAGCCAGGCAGCTTAAACTGAACATGAGGCTTGCTTGCTTCAGTGACTGAGGACTCCAACGTTCCCCGCCTGCCTTGCTGGCCTCTGAGCCTGCAGTTTGAATACTGTAACAAATATAGAAGCTAAACAAAACCCCAGAAACCTGCTTTCAGCGAGCTAGGATCTCAGAGCTGGAGTTGATACAGAGTTTCGATTATAGAACCTAAACAAACGAGATACCTACTTTCAGCAGCTGAGGCCTCAGAGCTGGAGCCAAGCCTCAGAGCTAAAGCTGGCCCAGAATAAAAAAAGAAAAAGAAAAAAGGAGCAGTTGGGAGCTTCAGTCCCAGCCTGAAAACAGCCCTCAGCCCCTCACCCAGACTGGCCAGGCACCCCAGTGGGGACCCCCACCCTGAAGGGGGTGTGACCAGCTGCAAACAGCCATCATCCCCTCATCCAGGCTGGCCAGGCACCCCAGTGGGGACCCCCACCCTGATC